CAAGATAAAATGCGATATGAATAAGTTTTAATTTTATAACTTATGATTGTTTTTATTATTTAAAAGTATTCAGATCTTCTTAAAAATGTAATACAAAGCTAATCTGTTATATAGATAGCGCAAAATGAAGATCTAAACTAAAAGGAATCTAAAGGAAGATAACCCAATCAAAATTGTTACAAGTATATTTAATATCAAAATATTCTAGAGCTTTATTGAATGTAAAAAAATTCTTTTCTTATCAAATTTATAGATGGAATATATTATAATAATATATATAATTCTGAATCTTTTAATAAATAATATAAAAAGTGAGTAACTGAATATGAGTAATTATTTTTATCAGCTATTACAAAAAGTAATGCAAATGCAGCTAAATTTTAAAGTTATATTTGATAATGTTTATATTAAATTCTAATTTAATATTCTATCTAATAACTATTCTATTTAAAATAAAGAAGTCAAACTTTTAATATTTAATTATTACTATTTTTTAATATTACAAATTTATTACTAGTAATTTCACTTAATATAAATCTAATTATAATCTATATGAGTTCTAATATATGACAAGTTGCTATATAATTAATAATTTTATCTAATTTATCTAAAAATTATACATTAAGATATGTTACCAGATTAAAAATTTCATAATCAGAAAATATTTCAATTAAAATTAAATATATTTTTTTATTTATATATCAAAATTCTAAAAGAATTTTTGCATTTGGTTATTTTTATGATAAGAAATTAAATATCAAAAAATAAATTCATCTATAACTATATCAAGTTTACTATTTTAATTAATATTTTTTCTTATATTATTAAAAAATATATTATAAATATTATAAACTGCTTTATCTGAATATAAATTACTATTTAATTTCAAAATAATAATATTTAGTATTGATATTTTATATTCTGATTTTATATTATTTACTAGTTCTTTATATACTTTATCTATATTAACTTTTGCTTTATTAAATACTGATAATTTGTGAAAAATTTGCAAGTTCTTTTGTTATAAAATCTAAAGTACTAATTTTCAATAAACATTTTTTTTAATATTTCTGAAAGAATTTTTTTAATTAAAACTAGTAATATAAATTAAAAAATTATATATAAACTTGTATATTTAGTTATACAAGTAGTATTATATATATATTTTCAAAGCTAAAAGATATCTTTTAAAGTTAATTTTATCAAGAACATATATATTTTAAATATTATCTTCCTGAAATAAATATGCTTCTGGTTTTAATTGAATTTATATTATTTTTTCTAGTTATTTTTTATGTTATTAAGAATATGATATAATATTAATAATATAAAATTTGATATAATGATATTAAAAACTTTGACTTTTAATAAAGTGAACTCATTATATATATGAGCTATATATTAACACTTAAAAGAGCAATTATAAGAATGATTGATATTATAAAAACTGAAATTTTAAGAGAATATCTGATATTCAAATTCTATTAAATTTAGTATTTCTATTTTTTCATTTTTTTAAACAGACTTGATATTTTTTTCTTTGTATAAATAATATTAAACTATCAAAAAATTTCTTTAAAAAATATGAAAAGCTATTATAATATTGATTCTAATATTTTAAATATCTTCTTGTTTTGAATTAAATTTGAATATGCTTTTCATATAGCTTGACCAAAAATTTCTCTGAGTTTTTTGTATTGATTTTCATATATTAAATAATTTATTAACTGAAATTTCTCTTCAAATTTTTTGATTTTTACTTTTCCAAGTCACATAGCTATTTTTATAGCTAATAAACTAGGTATTGATTCATTTATATTAATATTATTTTGATTTTTGTTTATATTGCTTTGTTTTTTATTTATATTTTAATTTTCATTTTTCATTAAAAGTTCAAAAATTTTGCTAAATGGTAATATTATTTTTGCCAAAATATTTTGTCTAAACTTAGGATTCTGCAATATCAATTAATCATCATTCAAGTAATAAAAGTATTTTTTTGTTATCATTATGTTGTTCTTGACAAGTATAGATTTTAACATTACTTCCTTTTCTTTCAAATAAATATCCATCTTTTTTTTGAAAATAGTTTGAATAAATAAATCTTACAGATGATTCTGTTGTTGATTGCTTAATTAAATGTTAAATGCTAGATATATTTTATATCCAATATAAGGAGCTTGTATATTATGACTATTAATACAAATACAATATTCTTTGTAATTCATATCATGACTAAAAAATAATTATCTTTATTACAAAATAAGCACCTTAGATGAATATAACTTGTATTAATTGATCATTCAAGTTTTGCTGCCTTATTATGTAACTGGTTCTGATCAAATAAAAAGTATGCTGTACAAACATCAAGTGTATGTATCATATTATGTGGATTATTTTTATTAATAACAGACTCATGAATCTTCCACATTCCAATGAGTTGATGAAGAGGTCTTAACATATAACCAGAATGTTCATAATTAGAACATCATGCCTTCCCATTATAAATATCAAGAACAGTGCATGGAGTTAGATTTTTGCATAAAAAATCTTGTATTAGATAGTCCTCTTCTTGCATTTTGCAACTACTTTCTGCTGAATTTATAAATGAAGAATCAGTATCCAGCTCCACATTATCAATAAAAATTCATCAACATCATTGATATTTTCAAAAGAATGTGTAGTTTCTTGGACTCTTTGAAATGCCTCATAATTAAAAGAAAACTTATGAATATTACTACCATGATTATTTTTTGAAGATGTTATAGTAACATCATCATCACTGTTCTCACTATTGCTTGATGATGCTATCATATTAATCAAACTGAAATCACTATCAAGACAAATATACTCGTTATCAGGATCACACCATTCATCATCATCACTGGCATTCCAAGAATTTATAGCTGCAAAAGGTGCGCAATTGTTGTTGTTGGTTGAACACATAATATTTACTTTATAATACCTTTTCTTGACTTTATATTTTCGTGATGAGTATATATGAGATAATATAAATATTGATATATAGAATTTGATTAATGATGATATCTGAATTTGATTGTATCCAAACTTTGATTTTATAATACTGTTATTGATATGAAATTTGATAAATGAAATTTGGTTTACGAGATGATAAATATACGAAATTTGATTTATGAGATAATAAAATATACGAAATTTGATTTATGAATGATATGTACTGGTATGAGATGATTATTGCGTAAATCTTCACTATTTTTAATAACGCATAAATCAATACACTGACTTTAAAAGAAGATCGTTTCAAGGTTTTTCTTGTTATAGCATTAATATTCAAAATACAAACAGAGCATATCTATAATTACTCTTTTTCTTAGAATGCTAAAATGATTTGTCTTTGAAAACAACATAAATGAAACAGAAAAAGTGAACAAAATTCAGCTCTATCATATGTAAAACATTTCATGTTGGTTGTCGATCATATAGTAAAAAAATTACATGTATCAATAGTAATAGGGAGACATGTCCTGTCCTGTGTACGATATGTCTCTTCCGATGTATTAATTTAATGGATCAGCAAATGCATAAAGCATTGTTACACTTATATGTTTCTTAGTAGAATAACTTTCTTTCTATCATAACATCATAATATTACAAATTCACCTATTTCATGAAATTAATTGAAATTTATTTTCAAGCTTTCTACTTTTTATTCATCTAATTATCGTTTCTATATTTGAAATATTTTTTAAAAGATTTTTGCGTAAAAACATTAAAATTCAGACAATTGTACGTATATATTAGTTAAAGATTTACATAAATAACGTTATCGTTATCTGTAAAAATTCATAAGTACTAATAAATGCATCCAATATCCATGGAAACAAGTATAAATAAATCTTGATATCGATATAGTATCACAATAGAAGGTGAGATTCCAATTGAGTAAATATTTATTAACTAGTCTGGTTGATCCGCGCTATATGAGTATGCGGTGATTATATATGGTTGAAGCCCGTCAGCTTCAGATAATTCTATTAGCGACTGCTTCTTCAACTTGTACATCATTAAAAGCATCCATTACATCGAAAAATTCCTCATGTAAATCCGGAGTTAAAGACTGACATTCATTGTCATCAAGAGTATAATTGTTAGTTGCTGTAGTGGTCTTAGTAGTATTATTGACCGCTCGTACTGATGTTGTTTGTTTAGTAGCCAGGTAATCATTTGGCGACAGTGTTCCACTTTGAGAAATAATTTTATTTTGAAAGAAGTAATGATGCATTATCGTTCCAACAAAAAGTATTATTTATCGCATTGGGTAACGGTGAATGAATGATTTGTCCTTGCGCTGGTTGGTGGCTAACAGGATTAATGAGCCTGAATTATCAAGGGTTTGATTAGCTTTATCACTATTATTATGAGTATGCAAATTTGTAGAGTTTTTTTCGCTTGTCAAACCGATTATTATTCCAATATATTTGAATACGTTGTACGTCCCAATCATTGCTATACACTTATAGTTGTTGTAGAATTTCAATAACTACATCCTTGGGAAAGATATCATATCTAAGTACAGTTTCAAGTATCTTCTTCTCACCATCAGTTGTAAGTTGGCGGCGTTGCCATTTTACACCACAAATATCCTTAACTTGTTCTTGTAATTGCTGATCTTTTTTCTTTTTCGCATTCCTTCATAATTGTTTTTGCTTTCCAATGGTGAAATCATCAATTTGTGCACTACTATATTACGTGCACGATGGCCTTTTGTGTTTTGAGTATCAATTTTGTAAACATCCTGACGTAAATTGCATTAAGTCGAGTCATGCCGAGATCATAACAAGTAATATCTTTAAAAAACATGTTGAATTCACTTCTTGAGTGTCTGCAAAAAGTTCGTGTGTTTTAGGGTCTTATAAAGAAAAGGCAATAAACAACTCATCAGCTAATTTCCATAGACTTTCTTTTCAGGATCTTACAGCTCGCTCCTTTTTAATTGTAATCATATCACCCAAGTATTCTGATACTAATAATCCTAACCGATCTCTTTCTGCCTGTGCAGAACCTATCTGTAATTTCAATTCCTCATTATTTAATGCTCTTCCTCTAATATTATATTTTACAAACATTATTCCAAATCTCTCTAACACTTCGTCAAATGCGAAATAGTGACCAGGTGAAGTAAGATTTACTGAACAAACACATCGAAGTAGTTTTTGAAGATGTGGATCATTAATGTAAGATAAAAAATGTGTTACTGATTTGACATAGTTACATTTGCCAGCAACCGGAAAGCGAGGTGAAAATGCTGCAAGATTTTTTATTTGCATATCATAGTTTCTTCGGCGAATACCAAGTTTATGCCCCCACCAATAATCCGTCCAGTAAAAATAACGATACCAAACTCTGAGCATATCATTTTTTTCACTCACAATATCACTCATTGTTTGATTCTTGCTACGTAAATATTGACATATTGCGATACCAATAGCAACTCAAATCAATTCCAAAACTCGACAGGTGACCTGATAATCTATAACTTTTTCTAATTTGTCTATAAAGCGAACGCCAAGTTTTGCGGCCATATTAGCAATACCATAAACTGAAAAAATATTTATAAATGCACTACACATGTCACGGAAAGTATGCCACTGGCCTAAAAGAGGTCTTATAATTTTGTCTTTATTATTTTCTTTGTATGAAATCAATCTGCGAAAGATCGCTTCATCGCATGCAATATCTAAGCATCCAGTGTTGACTACTCCTACATCATCATAATATAAATCACATGCATTGTGAACATTTATATTGCAGTTTGGACTATCGCTATCTCTCGGTTTAAGTATAATGACATTTGGAGGTGGTACTTGACATCAAATTGGTATCTTTTGTGAAATTTCATTGAAAATATCATCTATATCCCAGTTATTAAGACGTGTAGTCAGAAGAATATAGAAAATTGTCTCGTAAGAAAAAAGAAGGTCACTTGTAAAAGCTGAAGTGCCAAATATGTTCAAATTTATAGATTGATTGTTATCATTTACATGTTGTTGTAGTTGTGATGGCATAGTAAATTAAAATGTCATCCTTAATCTAGCGTGCAAAGATTTGCGTGTAGTGTCAAAAATATTTCCATATGCAAAAGTTCGCTCTACAAAATCTATATTATCGATATTGAAATATTCCAAATATTTGCCTTGTATCAATCTGCTTTCTGGTTTTGTTTCACTTATACGAATCTTTTCTAATTGTTTTTCATGTTATTGTGTGTGAGATACCACATTTGTCACACAAAGAGTATTATATAAAGAGTGAAATAATGTTGGTTTGCAGCAAAGAGAACTCATAATATGAGTAAATCAAATGTTAGTGCCTGGAAATGCGATGTTCGTCATTACTGATGCGATTTATATCAAAAATTTTCAATGGAAGACCTCTTTGCTTTCTTTTTTTTAATAATACTTCATATTTTTTTCTTTGCAATATCTCAATAAAATCCATTGAAAAAATTTGCCAAACATGAAGGAAAACTCTGCTAATAATACTGGATTTTCAAATTTTTCATACATCATGTCATGCTTTCCATGTTGCAGTTCCCAATGCTTTTTCAAGATCTGTAGCTGTTTCAGCGGTAATATTATATTGTGAATTATTTACTGAATGAATATGTGCTAGTTTTAAGACCATTTTGATAAAAAGAAGACTCGGAGAACATGTTATTACTGAGGAGAACTCGGTATTATAAAATGATAACAGAATAGAATTCAAATGTGCTAAAAGAACTTTTTTTATTTTCGTCAGTGGTTTCTGCTATGTACAAAATCCAGTGACCCAGAATTTGAAGTGCCTTGCTTGCATCATTCTTATGCATATTTATGCATTCAAAATTTGGTTTACTTCCACAACCTTGTCTTTCATAAAAATGTCCTCCATGTGTAATAAAACATTCTGAACAAATATACCGAGGTCGATATTCAGCTTCTGGTTTATTAATAATATTTTCTAATTCTTTAATTTGTTCAAATACAGGACAAATCTTAAGCCCAATACAAGGTATTTGAATATTTTTTCAAAAATGCGTCTCAGATGCTTCACCTCAACTGAAAAAATATTTCGACTTATTGCAAAATAAACAACGTTGGCAAAAAATCCAGCTCTTTTCAATTGATCGTGATTTTTTAACATGCGGAAAATGAAGTTGATTTTGATCAAAAGATTGACAAACACCTATCATCGGCAATTTGTTTTCCACTTGGGCCTGTTGAAAATCTTTCCCAAGCTCTAACAAGTTGAGAAAGTGGTCTCTGTTTTTGCGAATAATTTGAACAGCATTGAATACGACCATCAATTAAATCCAGAATTGAACAAACTGATAATATTTGTTTAGCATTTTCTTCTATGTTCTCAATAAAATATTCATTTTCATCATTTGATCCAAATGTAATTGATTCTATTTCAAATGCTAGCATCTCATTGCTATCTGTTTCAGTATCAATATCAATATCCTTTAAAAGAAGTATATCCTCGTCTTCATCTGCTTCTGTCAAAGCACGTGCTTTTCAAAATTGGTTTTATCAAAAAAGAAAGGAATTTGTTTCTATATTAAAGTCCAATGCATCATTTATACTCTCTGTTATAACAACTTTCAGATACAAGACTTTCGGTAGTCATGTCCATACTTTCAATATCTTCCACATCATAATCATCTGGAACATAGTCGAAATTGTCAAAACATAACACATTATTTAAAACTCGTATTGTTTGTGTTGATTTCTGGGTTTTGTGAATTCATAGCGAGCGTTTGCCGTAAAGATAAGAAAACAATGTGAAAGCGTTTTCCGTAAAGGAGATAATATGGAAGCGTTTTTTGTAAAAATGACAATGCTGTAATTATATTTTTGATGCTTGATGAGACTATTGATATATAAAAATTTAAATATTATTAGATTTTCTTATTCTAATATTAAAGCAATTTGAAATATCATATTGAAGTACTATATATAGCAATATTTAGACAGATATTGAATGAACATAATGATAACGATAATAAGAGTTTTATTAAATATAAAAAATTAATTATCATTTACTTATTGTTATCGTTGTCTTTATTGTTATTATTATCGTTATTTTTATTGTTATCGCTATTCGTATTTATAGTTTCCTTTATAAATTTGAACATGTGAACAGCACGTTAATTAATATATTTGATTAAAAATTAAGACACAAAATTGATCAACTGTAAATATTATCAATTTAGAAAAAACTTATCATGAAGTCGAGCTACTTTGGCTGAAGATTCTTTAAAAACTAAAAGTACTATAATATACAAAATAAAATAATTAGTAAGAGAAAGGTGCTAAATTTTGTCTAGCTTAGCAAGATTTAGTAACATATCTTGTGTCATAAGAATACTAATATAGAAGCGAAGTTGACTTTCAGCGATGATTTTCTGTATTAAACTATGGCGTGTGAACGACTGTCGATCTCTTAATTGATACCGATACTAATACACTTTGCTTAACGTTAAAAATTAAGGGACAAATTGATCGACTGATATCCTGTGATCGATATTAATTAAAAAATTCGTGACCTACATTACTGATCATTTCCCGATTCCAAACAGTGAGTGTGTACATGTATTGGGTTTCATGTCATGTGCATGTATATTGTACTGTACATATATTTTATTTACTATTTTCCTTGACTTTGCATTTTGACCGAAGGGATAACCTAAGTTGTTGGGTCAGTCGAGAAAAATCAATACATGTATAAGTGATTAAACTTGATCACCTGATTTTATTTATTTGTAGATATCTATGACAAAATACATATGATTTTTAATTTTGACCATACATTTTTGATCGAAGGTGGTTTCTAAATCCTGTTCTTATAGAGAAATGTGTTTAATATACATACTAATTCATTAGTTTTCAAAATCCTATTCTTATAGAGAAGTGTGGCTTTTAATGTTCTAATTTTATGCACAAAACTAAACAGTTCCTATACAATATAATATATAATACTTCACAACATTGTTCAAAACCTATCGCATGAAGCAGGTTTTATAAGGTATAATATAAGAATTTAGGAAATAACGATAAAAAAATCTTTTATTCTATTCAACTAAACAGAAAATATGCTACGTTCTGCATCTTTACGCCAAAAATTACTGACTTAAACATCATTCAAAAATTTTATTCTATAACGACACTAACGTTTTATGAAAAATCAATTTCAAATATTTAAAAAATTATTAAAAGGAATTGATTTTATTTTGCCCATCCT